GTTTCTGGTAGCTAGAGAGCTTCAAAAGCCTCAAGCAAAAGCCTCCCAGGAAAACTTTTCCTGCGGGTTTTATTCTTCTCCTTACTTTGTTTACCACTCTTCTTAGTGGTTACATTCTTATGCATGAAGAAAACATGCCGTGTACAATTACATAAAATAGCAAACCCATCTCTTGTGCACGTGAACACCAGCTGCAAGGGTGATGTCAGGTTGCCAATAAGTTTCCCAAATACAGACACTGGGACAAGGTCACTCCTGCCTCGTTGCCAAGGGAACAGTTTGCCGTTCTCGTGGGCAGACGATTCGGGAGCAACACATTCCTACACTTTGGGACTGAGAAAAACCTGAACATTGTTGTGATTTTTGATGTAAAGTGACCATCTATTTCATAGTTCAGCCTGCCTGGGTGGCAAGACAGACTGCAATGCCCAAGGGGACTGTCTGTGACTCCACGGTAAGACTGCTATAGTGATTTAGGAGTTCACACCTGTTACTGGGTTGGTGAAATATAGTTACAGAACATACAACCAGTTTAGAGTTCCTGCCCTGCTTTTGACAGTCTGCCCTGAGGTTGGCACTCTGGGTCATGAGCCACTCCAGACAGTGTGACGGGGTAACAGTACATGTTCAACATAGAGTTTCAGGACAGTTAAGCTTCCATCTACTACCCCACCAATGTCTCACACACTTAATGTAAAGGAATGCCCCCTACAGGGGAGGAGACTAATTTAGTTTCCATGGTCATTCAAAATTTGACTTATCTGGTAAGGCTGCCAAGCAGTGTCAATAGTACTGATTGTTAATGTTTTAAATAATAAGTAGGGCTATTGATTAATCGCAGTTTATTCATCCAATTAATTAATCACGATTAATCGCAGTTTTAATCACATTGTTAAACAATAGATTACCAATTGAAATTTATTAACTATTTTTGGATGTTTTTCTACATTTTCAAATATATTGATTTAAATTACAACACAGAATACAAAGTGTACAGTGCTCACTTTATATTATTATTTTATTACAAATACTTGCACAGTAAAAATTATGAGTATTTTTCAATTCACCTCATACAAGTATTGTAGTCCAATCTCTTTATCATGAAAGTGGAACTTACAAATGTAGATTTTTTTTTGTTACATAACTGCACTCAAAAACAAAACAATGTAAAACTTTAGAGCCTACAAGTCCACTCAGTCCTACTTCTTATTCAGCCAATTGCTAAGACAAATAAGTTTGTTTATATTTACGGGAGATAATGCTGCCAGCTTCTTATTTACAACGTCAACTGAAAGTGAGAACAGGCATTCGCACGGCACTTTTGTAGCCAGCATTGCAAGGTATTTACGTGCCAAACATTTGTATGCCCCTTCATGCTTTGGCTACCATTCGAGAGGACATGCTTCCATGCTGATGACGCTCTTTAAAAAAATAATGCGTTAATTAAATTGTGACTGAACTCTATGGGGGAGAATAGTATGTCTCCTTCTCTGTTTTACCCACATTCTGCCATATATTTCATATTATAGCAGTCTCAGATGATGACCCAGCACATGTTTATTTTAAGAACACTTTCACCGTAGATTTGACAAAACGCAAAGAAGGTACCAATGTGAGATTTCTAAAGATTGCTACAGCACTCGACCCAAAGTTTAAGAATCTGAAGTGCCTTCCAAAATCTGAGAGGGACGAGGTTTGGAGCATGCTTTCAGAAGTCTTTAAAAAGCAACACTCAGATGCGGAAACTACAGAACCCGGACTATTAAAAAAGAAAATCAACCTTCTGTTGGGTGACTATATTTCCCTATGCTGAATATGGGACACATGATAAAATTACTCTTATTCAAGTGAGTTCGACAGCACTCAGAACTATGCAATACAAATATTCAAATTAACATCAAGTTGACTGAGCCCCTGTTAAAAAGAAATACTGTGTAGTTGGATTCTTTTTATTTACCTTCATATCTTTTAGGCTTTAGGGTTCACATGGGGAGAGGCAACACACACACACACACACACACACCCCCGTACACCTCTCCTACACAGAGGGGGTGACTGACCTACCCAACCCTCCCTGCCCAGTGCTCTCTGCCCTCCATGCCTGGATAGAGCCCCAGGACAGACCCCCTCTCTTGGTACCTGGCACTCCATCTTCCTGCCAGGGTTCACACCAGAACGTGCCCAGCAGCAGCCTTTCGGCGCTGTGTGGGAGGGAAGGGATGAGAGCTGCTTCCAGCCACAGGGAAGGAAGGGGGTGGGGAGGGATGACCTGGCTCCTGTCTTTGCAGAGCTCATCTCTTCCCCCCGCCCCACTCCCCTGTGGCTGGAAGCAGCTTGTCCATTCCTGCCCGCACAGTGTAGAAAGGCAGCTAACGCCTCCAGGCTGCTGGTGGCCACCAACATAAGCCAGTCACCTATGGCTACAGCACAGGCAGGAAGGGGTTAAGCCCTAAGAATGCATTGTGCACCAGGGCCCAGGGAACCTGACTGCAGGGCTTCAGCTGCCTGAGATCCTGGCCAGAGAGGGAGGCAAAGCAGGTGCTAAGCCCCTGTCCTGGGGGCCGCTTTGAGCCTGCAGGTTTGAGGCAGGAACAGGAAGGAAATCACTCCCCCCCACCCACTCCAGAGTTTAGCTGAGGGGCAGAGAGGCTCCCCGTGCCAGTGCTGTGTGCGACTTTGGCACATGCAGGGCTTGGCTCCTGGCCAGCAGCCCGGGCTGGAGGGTCTTGGGCTTTCAAGGGGCGCCGGCCCAGCCACAGGCAGCGGGGAAAGGAAGGAGTCTGCCGGCTAGGCTGTTCTCCGCACAACACTGGGAGCAGGACGCACCCTGCCGGGGGGGGAGGGGGATTATGGAAGAGCAGCGGGGCTGGAGAGGGTGAAGGGGCAAAGCAGGGATTGGACAGCGAGAGGGGAAGCACGTAAAGGGCTGATGGGCGGGCAGCAGAGGCGACACATAGCTGGCTGCTGCCCGGCACCTGCCCGCACTCACCAGCCACCGAAGCTCACAGCGTGCAGCAAGTACTGTCTGGAAACTGAACGGGGGGCCGGGGCCCTGCTGGCCGAGAGCCAGCACACAGCAGGGGCTGCGCTGACGGACCAGCAGGGGGAGCGGCTGGCTCTGCATGCTGCAGCTTTGCCCTGCCACTAGCCTTGCACAATCATCCCCATGATCGGCCACTGGACCCCCTACTCACCACTGGTGGGCGGGCGGCTGGCGAGCAGGGATCCGGCCACCAGTACTGATGGGGGTAGACAGAAAATATGGGACAATTTGCCCGTTTTTAAGAAAAAGTTGGGACACCTGCATGAGGGCTTAAATACGGGACTGTCCCTTAAAAACGGGACATCTGGTCACCCTACTTATCATAAATCAAACAGACATCAGCTGGTGATAAACTTTGTGTCGCTACTCATCTAACAAACTTAAACCAGTGACCTACAGATGAAATGAGGTATGTCCTGTCAATGTCCAACTCCCACAGCTTTCCACTCCACTCAGAATTTTTTTCAGTATATTAGCATTTTATTTCTACCATTAACGCCAAAATAAATAGCTAAATATTCAAATCTCAATCCCTAAACTGCAGCCACAAAATATTATGTACACAAGCAAACATATATTCATGAATATAACTTGTAATTATTACCCACAACAGCATATGCACAACTCCCAATTTTGTACACGTTACCCATTTTGCACAAACAAACTGAGGCATGCCCTTGGCAGGCACAGCTTAGGTGCAAAGTTTTACAAATTTTGTCATAACTGTTGTATATATCATTAACAACGTTAAGATATAAGGACATTGACAGAACACACTTTCTATTCTTACCAGGTCATTGACCAGAATGATGGTGCAATAGCGCTTTTCCAGATTAAAAGGAAGAAAGTAAAGATCCAGGTTTGCAGAACTTCTCCCTTCTAAGTACAATGTGCACACTGGACTGAAGAACTCTTGTAGGTGATTGAATCGATTAACTGCCAAAACATGATTTAAGGGTTGGTTATACACAGTAACAAAGCTGGGAAAGGCTAAAGTAGCTGTTCCAATATAAAAACATAGCCAGCTATAATAGCATACCCTAGGAACTAGTATTTAAGGCGCTCTCAAATCACAAAAACAGTAAAACTGCATGCTATACAAAAGTTACATAAACAAATTATGCTAATTCATTCCTTTCATACTTGCCAAGCCTATGCATACACACCTTTTTAGCTGCACAGCTCAGAAAGAGCAAGACTATGTTGGATAAACTACCACTCTATATTCACAAAAAATAAAATCTTCCGAGATATACAGTAGATATGTAAATTACTCCTGCAAGAGGCAAGGGTACTGCTTTATACTCTTTTAAACTAATATGATTGCTCCCTTAACGAGACTAGCTGCATGACAATATGAAACTGGGAAATCCTCAGGCATGCACAGAAATTAAAATGTGCATGTTTGCTTTTGATGGACAGCATTTTAAGTACGTTGAAGACTATGATTACAACATATTACACATTACATTGTGTATTGTAATTGTTGCATTTTCAAAAATAACACAATTGATTAGATGGTCTTTCAAAACTTAACACAAATGAAGCTTTTTCCCCAGCTAGCAATGATTTCATTAATCAGGTCTATAACACTCAATTCATGCTCCATTCTGATTGTTTTCCTTATTCCTGTTTCATAATGGCAATATTTATAGTATATTCAGTGCTCTTCAGGTGGTTCAAGTGTTTTAAAAGATTACCTGAAAAGAATTTTTAAAAATTCAGGCTAGGATGTCAACAAGACTGCTTTGGATATCTGTCATATTTCAGACTTGGTGACATATCAGCTCAATAACTACAAAAGACTCAACTTAATCATCTCCTCCATGAGACATTCCCTTATATGTTGGATGTGAGGGGTGAATCGGACACAGCCAAGTACCCTTAAAGTCTCTGTAGCCCAGAAAATTTAAACATTTAACATGCTGATCTGATGCACACATTCTGGACATAAAGAATGTGTAAAGTCCAATTTTCATTCAAGCTTAGCCACCTCAACCCTCCAGGGCGATGAACTGATTAGAGGCCAGATGTGAAAATGGAGCCAAAACAAATGGGTCAGAGATAGCACTGATACACATGGTGACAGCTCATTTAGGAACAAATCAGTATTGAAAGCTGACCTCCAGAAAAAAGTGGCTGATGCAAGAAACCAAAATCAAACAGAAACCACACACACATCACTTTTTTCCTATAACAACAATGCAAATAAAACAAACTCACTATCCTAAAATACAGGGCCGTCCTTAGGATGTATGGGGCCCTACGCAGTATTATTAAACTGGTATCCCTATGCCTGATGGCAGCCCGGGGATGGTGGGGATGGACGAGGAAGCAAAGGATATCGAGACGTCCAGCCTGCCTCACGGTGGTGGAGAGTCACAGTTCCCCGCAGAGACCCCCGTACCCTCTCCCTCACGCAGAATGCGCAGCGCCGACGCACTCAGCTCTGTGAATACGGCCCCTGCCTAAGGACACTGCAGTGCGCGCTGGGTGTGTGGGAGCCAACCTGCTGTCATGGGCAGTGGGTGAAGCTGCTGCTTGGGGTGGCTAGCTCCCCAGCCCACCTCTTCTGCCTGTGGCCCTGCCCATACTCCACCCCTGCTGATTTTAGAGGTATTTTAGAGATGTGATTTTATAATCTTCACCAACTCAGTAATGAAATATTTTTAAAGCAAATTTTAAACTAAGGTCCTGTAGACTAATATGTTCTGAGTAAATATTACAGTAATGCACAACTGTTTGTCAGTAAATTCAGAAACTGACAGTATATACCTGGGGGTTGGCAAATGCCTGTTAAATGACTTCATTACCACTTGAATGGCTCTTTAACAGTTTCAATGTTGTGCTAATAGGTCTGGCAGGCTGGAGGCTTTTTCACTTTTAAGTTTCTAGATCCCCCAGGGAGTAAAAGTCACCAGGCTGCAGCAGCTAGCTGTGGGAGCCTGCGGGAAGGGTCAGAACAAGGATAGGAAGAGCTGGAAGGGTGGACCCTAAGACCCAGTGGTGCACAAATTTTCAGGTGCCCTATGCAGCCGGGTATTCTGGGTATGCCTAAGGACGGCCCTGCTAAAGTAGACCCAACAACCAATGTAGTGCTGCAAATGAAGACCCGGCACTTCCAAAATCCTTTTTTGCACGTATACCAAACACTCCAATAGTTGACAGGGCACTTGTACAGTTCTAATAGCTACCGCTTTTTAGATGACTCTGAGGTAGCAGTGCACCTTTAAAGGGGAATGCTCAATGATGTGATGGAAGGAACTCTCAAAGATCATACTGAGAGGAAGGTTAGGCTGATTTCCCAGATTCTGATAGCGCCCTCTTCCTGTCGGGATACTGCAAAATTATCCTTGATATAAGTTACTTAACCTTGGGGGCTCATAGAAATATTTCTGAAGAGCAATTACACACATGCACACACAAAACATATTTTGCATCAATTAGCAAATATTTTCAGAAAATTCTGCAGAGGATACACCTAGCTACTCAATACAAGGTCTTTACCCTTTAACCCATGAGTTTTCAATCTGGAGGTCGCAATCAGGTATAAGGAGATTGCAACTACCTCTTCCTTACCATATTGCTAAATGGATAGGGAATCTGAGATGAGAGAGACAATATCAAATCGTAAGGGATAGAAAAATGTTAAGAACCATTGCTGTAATCCCTCCCTTCCAATTATATGAATTGAACACCGTGCTATATTATCAATATACTCAGTATAGCTTTCAAGGACCAAATATAAACATTTCCACATCATGCAGAGAACATTACTATACAGAAGCCATATCCCAAAATGTAGCGTAACATACAATAGATATAAAGACAACCTCGGTATTTCAGAATTATACTGGTACTAGTAGTACTGATATAGCAAGTCTCAGTTTTCCATAGGGCCATATGTAAATGCAATAATATTTTGCTCAAGTATCCAGTAACCTTCAAGGAACTGCCATGCAGATTTTGTGCAACTGAACTTTCTTGAGGGAATCTACCTATGCCAGCACCATAACTCCCAATGAATAAATCTTGACATAACTCTTGAATCAAAACTATTAGGGAATGAAAGTGAAAAATCTATGGACAATCAATCATTTTAAATAATTCTTTCATATCCAACACTGATAAGCTGGAGGGGTCTCAAAGGAGCCCCTTGTTAGAAGAGCCAGTCTTTGAGCCCTGTAAAGGAGAATCTCAGCTTTCTTTCTTTTTTAATAAATTCTTTAGCTGTAAAATGTATTACTAAACTTGCACGGTCTATCTAAATGTAAAATGTCTGCAGACAATAAATCTGTAATACGAGTATCTATTATTGTATATATTTTAACCTTTAAAGATTCTATTCATTCACATTGGTTCCCCATGTACTCCAAAAGTCATTAGTTAAAACAAATTTTGCAGAAAAATGAAAGGCATCCATTTTAGAAATACTTACAGCCATTTGAGTTGTTCTCTTTGTGACACAGTACATCTTCACCTCCCACGTCACTTGTACTATTCAGTACATTACATTCAGAACTAGTGAAAGAGAGAAAAAGCAATATGCTAACTGAGCTGTAATTTATAATATTAAATAAAATGGTCTCTTCACATTTCATACATATAGGAATGCAAATGACAAAATCTGACAAATATAGTTTTAAGAAAGTGATTTTGGCATAATCTACCAGTAGAAGTTACTGAATTTTATTCTGTTCTTAAGTTATTGTTACTTCTATCTCCTAAAACAGTACATTCCTTCTTCAATTCATCTGCATGTTCTTTTTCAAACTAAACAGATAATCAAACTCCACATATAAAAAAGCAGATTACAAGTTCAAAAATTATGATTGCTGGTGATTGGCAAATCAGCCCCGAGAGCGTATGCCCAATAACAATTTTGAGTTAATACGAATAAATTTAGTCCCAGTTCTCCCCCACCCCCCCGCCCAATCTTCATATTAGTACAAACCTATAAGAATTCATTTAATTATAAATTCACCATGGACTTTCTTCCAAGGGGGATTAAATAACATTAATGCAACATTAAGACTGACATTTTGAAACTACAGAAGACAGGACATTCAGGAAAGCTACTTACCTTCCCTACCTCACAGCAGTAATCAGAGGATATTTATTAAAAGAAAGTGAAGGTCTCAAATACTACAGCTATGGAAACCATGTAACTACCAAAGATAGAACATTCCCTGAAAAATTCACTTCCATGCATCTAGGGTGACCAGACAGCAAGTGTGAAAAATCGGGACAGGGGGTGGGGGATTATAAGCCCCTATATAAGACAAAGCCCCAAATATCTGGACTGTCCCTATAAAATCGGGACATCTAGTCACCCTACATGCATCTGCAAGCATACCAACAGAAGCATGACTTGTAACAATGCGGACTACACAATTTGAGATTATGATCTGGATCTTTCATTAATCAAATGAGCTTTTCAGTTGGTTACCAACCAATGTAAGTGCTTCACTAGTCAAATGGAGGTGTATTGACATGAACCGTGTTTTGGGTAATTTTATGTTTGAGGGAGAAGGAAGAAAATTGAAAAATCTTTTAAGGCATTTTACATCAAATTGTTTTTATATTCACTAGAGAACTTTAAAATGTTATTAATGTTGAACACTGCTGAAACCCCTACCCAATCATAACAAATCCTGCTTTTTTGTGTTTTTACTTGAGCACTTGGGTTGAAGACGGTAAAAGTAATAAACCATACCAAATTATACAGTAGATGTATAAGATTTTTTATGTTTACGATCATTGGTAAGGATTTGGTTTTGATAGTTGGCAGGAAGCCTATAACCTGGGCTAGGTACTACTTAGAGTGTTAAATCAAAATGAATAAAAATGAATGAATTTGAGGCCAAATCCTGCCATTCTTGGGCCCCCAAATCTCCCCTGAGTAAAGACTGAAGGATTTGACCTGAAATCAACTTTTTTCCAAATTGACTTTGATTTAACATACAGTACTAAGCAATACCAATCCCAGGTTTTAAGTGACCTGACTTCAGTCAATGGGAGACATGTCTGAATAAGGACTCCAGGAATGACCTATGGGATAAATAATTTCCAGTAGCAAGGCTTGTAGTAATTCACAACTGAAGGATAAAATTGACTCTCCTTTATAACGTCCAGAACTGTAAGAGATGTTGGGATTATATAACTGGAGAGTCTCCTTTAGTTCAATAAGTGGAACTAGAGTTTTAAACTTCAAAGGTTCCTGGTATCACAGACATCTGGGATAGTACTCCGTGCAGTTGAAGAAATTTCAAATGCAATTAATGTGTCATTTGGATTTTTACTTATTTAGGTCTAGATTCTGCACTGGTATCTTCTAGCGCAGTAGTTCTCAAAGCCGGTCCGCCGCTTGTTCAGGGAGAGCCCCTGGTGGGCCCGGCCGGTTTGTTTACCTGCCGCATCTGCAGGTTCGGCCGATTGCGGCTCCCACTGGCCGCGGTTCGCCGCTCCAGGCCAATGGGGGCTGTGGGAAGCGGCGCGGGCCGAGGGATGTGCTGGCCGACCTTCCCGCAGCCCCCATTGGCCTGGAGCGGCAAACCGCGGCCAGTGGGAGCGGCAAACCGCGGCCAGTGGGAGCGGCAATTGGCCGAACCTGTGGACATGGCAGGTAAACAAACCAGCCCGGCCCGCCAGGGGCTTTCCTTGAACAAGTGGCGGACCAGCTTTGAGAACCACTGTTCTAGCATAAAATGTACTACCTGTGCAAAGTTACGTTGATTTCAGTGGGAGTCTGCATATGTGCAGGAGTCTATGCTAGTGGATCCCAATGATTGAGGCCTTAGTTACTTCTCACATTTTAAACTTCAACACACCTGAAATTTTATCTTGTCTCATTTATTCTTGTTAGGCTCCCTCCCTCCACGGTGTCTATTGTTTTTAATGCTTGTTATTTACTTATAGAATTAGACATCACAAGCTGAACTGCATGCGTTTTGTTGTTTTCTCATGGACATTTCTAATCCATGTTGAACAATAACTATATCACAATTCATAGGAAGTATGGAGGTGAAATGTGTTTCTTGCCAATTTTACGTTTCAGGAAGAAAGAGAGGTTACTTATGAGTAACTGTAGTTCTTTTAGTAGATTGTAGGTACAGATTCAAACCCTAGGGTGTGCCTATGCACTCTGCACCAAATATAACCCTCTGTAATGCAGTGCCACCACTCACTATGCATGCTCCTTCAAAAGGAAGGAGCGTTTGGACTCAAGTTCTTATAAGATGTCATACCCCAGAGTCCCCTCAGTTCCTTTCAACCAGCAAAACACCACACATTATTCATCTGAATGAAAACCAACCCAAAACCTGTTTATTGGCAACTTTATGTTCCAGGGAAAAGGAAAAGATACTGAGAACCTTTTCTAAACCCAATACATCATGGATTCAGTCTTGGCCTCATTGATGTCAATGGCATTTTTGTCACTGAATTCAATGGAGCCAGGATTTCACACCCTCGTTTTCACCCTGTCTCTAACATGCTTCGGAATGTACAGATGACAAGTGCTATATAGTATTAATAACCTTTTCTTCTACATCCTCTAGAGCAGTGGTTTTCAAACTCTGGGTCGCAACCTAGTACTGGGTTGCGGAATGGAAGGCACTGGGTCATGGCAGCTCTGGTCAGCACCGCCGACTGGGCGGTTAAAAGTCCCATCGACGGTGCTGCCCGGCTAAGGCAGGCTTGTCCCTACCTGTTCTGACACCGCGTTGTGCCCCAAAAGCAGCCAGCAGCAGGTCTGGCTCCTAGGCAGGGGGGCCATGGGCCTCTTAGGAGCAGGACCTGCTGCTGGCACCCCAATTCCTGCCCCAGCCCTGAGCCCACCCCAACCCAGAGCGCCTTCTTGCACCCCAAACCCCTCATCCCTGGCCCCAGCCCAGAGCCCTGACCCCTCCCGCACCCCAACCCTCTGCTCCAGCCCAGAGCCCCCTCCCACACCCTGAACCCCTAATTCCTGGCCTCACCCTGCATCCTAGCTCTGAGCCCCTCCCACACCCCAAATCTGTTGGTTCGCAGGCATCAACAATTTTCTTCAAGAGGGTCACCAGAAAAAAAGTTTGAAAACCACTGCTCTAGAGAACTTGGAAATTTTACCAATGGGAAACATTATTCAACAATCACAATGAAATCTATTTTTCATCTTTTCCCTGTGCAACATTTATAAAATTGTATTATTAAAGTTAAGCCAAATTAAACATTAGAGGCCATTACATTGGATGCACAAGTAGCTAAAGAGCACATATTCAGCAGTTTATCCTCTTATTTGCTGCACTGGTTGTTATGGAAAGATCAGCATCCAATAATAATGCTTTATGTTTTACACTTCATAGTTAGTCAGTCAACAGGGTGTGATACAGGCAGAATTTGACCATGATATTTAAGTATCAGTTGTATAACACCATTACTGAATGAAGAATTTTTGGTGGCTGCATCACACATGAAAATTGCAATCTGCATGATGTGTAATGTGCTATTCAATCATTTGAATAACTGCTATTTAATCTGACATACTAGTACCTTAGAAATTATCTCTGAATCTCTCACTTGAACATCAACTAGTCAAAAACCATGTTTCCTGTCAATATTAATTAATGTGAATAAAAGACTTGCACTGCTCTACATGCAAATTAGACAAATTCATCAATACAGAATAAATACCATCTTCTAATCTGAAGTATTTGAAGCACAGTCATGCATACTTCAAGATTTTTTTTTACATTTGAACATGCATAGATATGCTCACTATGTCTGGTCTTAAAATCTGTCCCTAAAATTGGTGATGCATAAAATAGAACATACAATGGACTGGCTTTGCACACTTTTTCTCATTCATTATTGATGAACCATCATGACTCATAAGTGGCAGATAAAATGTTTTCATCAATTATTTGTATTAAACAATGAATGCAAAGACAACTCACTGCATATCCTTTCTTTCTCTAGTTACACAATTCTCAGTTTGCAAATTTGAATTTAAAATATATTATACGCACCTGTACTATAAAGTAATGTTGTCGGTTATTAGATTTAGTTATATATATTACATAGGAAATACAGAAATTATTGTTGTAAAATGGACCTAACGTTATACAATTCCACTAACCAAGCCACAAGGGAAATGGGAAGGTTGCAATGCATGTATCACTTAACAATATTAAGATTGACGTTTTGAAACTACAAAAGACAGGACATTCCTTGGGCTGGGTTGTAATTTAGCCGGTTATAACTCCTTACCTAGCTTTTCTCTCAGCTAGCCCCTTATTTTCTCAATTAATCCTCAAGCTAGGAGGATGCAGCAAACAGTTTTCTCCTGCTGGTGTCTGCCCTGCTATGAGGGAGGAGGCAGCATTTATGCTGGTCCCTTTCTCTCAGTTCATCCCCAATTGGTTTGGGAAGAGGAGAGTAATTCCCTGCCCTTTCTTCAATTCTCCTGGCCCCAGCCCTTAAAGATACAGGATCTTCTCCCAAGCGCGCGCGCGCGTGTGTGTGTATATATATATATATAT